GGGCTCTGGACCAGGTCACAGCCCTCACTGGGACCCACCCGAGCCTGGGCCGTGGGATGCGGGGCCGCTCGTGGTCGGCGCGTATCCCGCCCCACGTCGCGGAGCCTGCGCGCCTCCTGCTGCTGCGTCGTTCTCCCCGTAACCCCGCTTCCCACGGTCAGGACGAACTCAGTCTCGCACACCCCGCGCATCTGCTCTGCAGAGCAGGCCCGAGCTAGGAGACGGAGTGTGACTTAACCGCAAGGTTTCCACCTGAAGGAGGGCAGAGCCCGCGGACCTGCCCACGCCGTGCCTCTGCGCTCTGGGCTTGCGCAGTGCCCGACCCTGAAAGTCTGCAGGATGCTGAGCCCGCTGGCCCGCAGAAGGCCCTGTAGGAGAGGAGCAGAGCCGGGGACCCCCGTTTGCACCCCGGGGGCTCGATCCATCGATGCTGCGAGCGCCTGAAAGTTGGGTCTCATCCCTTCCTACCTGCTCCGGGGCAAAACGTGCTCAGACACACTTCCTTCCAGCCAGAGCCTGGGTATCAAATTGGGGCCCAGCAAGAAGAGACCACGTGGCTTGGGTTTCCAAGGTAAGGGGAGGAAGAGGGTCCTCCAGCCGGTGTCACAGGCTAGATCCCTGAAATCCACACTGCACAAGCACGGTGTGAAGCAGGTCTCCAGTTCAAAACAAGTGCAGAAACTCTTAACAGAAGGTGTCAGAGGCTGGCCCGCGACCAGCTCCGGGTTGGCCCTGTTGATAACGTGTGTGCTGTTGGTAACTTGGTCAGTGTGCAGACCGCGCTGCTAGAACGAGCGTTCCTCTGGGGGGAAAAGACTTGCATCTGTCTCCCCCTAAAGCCTGGGGACAGACTGGGAAGTGGGGTTCCCTGAGTGGGTGCCTGGCTAGTGAGAGGGTGTTCTCTGCCGTCCTATGGCTCGGGTATTAGGAAACCGCAATTATAAGCTCTAGAGTGTCTTTAATAACCTTAGGAAGATAGCAGGTGTGGCTTGTCAACATAAAAGCCTTGTCTTTAAAAATAAATTCTTTTAAAATTTTATTGGTACATTTTTGCAGTACATAACGTTTACATTCATAGTGGGTAGTTGATTCACGTAGGTGACACATCTTATAATAATAATAATAATAATAATATTATTATTATTATTATTATTATTATTATTTTGGTACCAGAAATTGAACCCAGAACCTTGCACTTGCAAGGCAGGTGGCAGAACCACTGAGCTAAATCCCCAGCCCCATAGGTGACTCATCTTAATCCTGTCTAGGTCTCCATCTTCTCCCCTTCCCTCCATCTCGTGGTTATTTATACTTTGGGTTTCTCATATTAGAGAAATCATTTGTATTTAAGCTTATGTCTGATTCGTTTCACTTAACATTTTCTCAGGTTGCATCTGTTTTCCTACAGATGACTTACTTTTTTTTTTTTTTTTTTTTTTTTTTTTTTTTTTTTTTTTGGTACCAGTGATTGAACTGGGGTCCTTGTGCTTGCAAGGACCTAAACTGCTGAGCTAAATCCCCGGCCCCAGATGACTGACTTTTATCCTTTATGGCAGAGTTGTGTTACATTTTGTAAAATACTGCATTTTTGCTACCCGTTCGTCTGTTCATAGACATACAGGCCCCTTCCCGGGTTTACCTATTATGCGTTGTGCTGCTTGTAAGCTTGGGTGTGCATAGATCACGGTAGTAGCTGATGTCTTCACCCTTCAGGAAGAGACCTGGCTGTTTCCAATAGAATTTCTAGTTTCAGTGTTTTGAGGAATCTCCACTCTGATTTCCCTAGTGGTTGTACTAGTTTGTATTCCCACCAGTAATGCAGGGTTCTTTTCCTGAAGCCTTGCCAGTATTAAATATGATTTGATTTCTTGATGCTAGGCGTTCATTCTTGATTAAGCTGGAATCTCAATGTTGTCTTAATCTGCATTTCTCTAATGGCCAGAGATAGTGAGCATTTTTTCATGTATTTATTGGCCTTTTGTACTTCTCCAGAGAAGTATCTATTCATTTCAGTTGCCCATTATTTCATTGGGTCTTCTATTTGGGAGATCTAATTTTTTGAGTACTTTATTAATTCTGGATATTGGTCCTTTGTCTGAGGAGTGGCCAGCAAAAAAATTTTCCCTTTCTGTAGCTTTCTCTTTACTCTGTTGATTTTTTCATTTGTTATGCAGAAGCTTTTGATTTGACATGATCCCATTTGTTGATGATTCTTGATGTTATGTCTTGTACATTTGGGATTCTGTTCAGAAAGTCCTTGCCTACATCTCTATCTTCCATGACTTTTATTTATTTTATCCTCCAGTAGATTCTTTCAAAAATCTAAATAATTTAGATTTTCATTATGGTTTTCAGTTTTATACATGGTGAGAGATATGGGTCTGGATTCAGTCTTCTCCATGTGGATAGCCAGTTTTCCCTGCATCATTTACTAAAGATGCTGTCTTTCATCCAGGGCATGTTTGTGGCCTCTTTCTCCAAGGTCAGTTTTGGCATCCTCTGTTCTGTTCCACTGATCCTGTCTCCTTTTGTGCCAATACCATGCTGTTCTTTTTATTGTAGCTTTGTAATGTAACTGGAAATTCTGGATTGTGATATTTCCTGCTTTGCTGTTGTTGCGCAAGATTATTTTTGCTACTCTGTGTCTCTTCTGGTTCCATATGAATTTTAGGATTCTTTTTTCTGGTTCAGTGAGGAATGTTGTTGGTATTTTCGTTAGGATTGCGTTAAGTCTATGTCACTTTTCATAATGTGGCCATCTTGGCAAAATTTGTTCTACCTATCCAAGAACAGGGAACATCTTTTCATTTTCTGGTGTCATCTTCTGTCTCCTTTTTCGGAAATGGAGTTTTTGTTTTGTTTTGTTTTGTTTTTCATTTTTTTCCTGGTCTTTCACTTTCTGTACTAGGTTAATTCCTATGCATCTCTTTTTTTGTTTTGTTTTGTTTTTTGAGACAGGGTCTCACTATGTAAGTTGAGAATGACCTGGAACCCACTTTGTAGCTCAGGCTGGTCTTGAACTCACAGAGATCTTCCTGCCTCAGCCTCCCGAGTGCTGGGATTACAGGGGTGCACCACCACACCCGACTCTAAGCATTCATTTTTCTTGATGCTATTGCAAATGGTATTGTTTTCCTAATTTCTTTCTCAGTGGGCCCATTATAGTATACAGAAATGCTATTGATTTTTGTATACTGCTACCTTGCTGAATTTGTTTACTAGTTCTAGGAGTCTTTTGATGGAATTTCATGGGTTTTGTGTTTAAAGGATCATGTCATCTGCAAATATGGATAGTGTGACTTCCTTTCTTGTACACATCCCTTTTATTTCTTTCTCTTGCCGAAGGCATTTGTTACTCCCAGAGTAGAGCTTTGAAATATCTCGTTCTACAAGTACAGTGCAAAACATATATTCATTTAAAAATATTTACTGATAGCCAGGCATGGTGGCACATTCTTATAATCCCAACACTGGGGAGACTGAGGTAGGAGGATCGCCATGAGTTTGAGGCCAGCCTTGGCTCCATAGTGAAATCAAGGCTGAACTATTTTGCAAGACCCTGTCTCAGAAAACCAAAGCAAGCTGGGTGTGGTAGTGCATATCTGTAATCCCAGCACTTGGGAGGCTGAGGCAGGAGGATTGCTGTGAGTTTGAAGCCAGCCGGGGATACATAGTAAATTCAGGAGCAGCTTGAACTACATAGTGAGACCCTGTCTCAAAAAAAAAAAAAAAAAAACCAAAACCCAAAAAAGCAACTATTTACAGAGTACTTTAATAAAAGATTCTCTTATATCTGGTTCATGACCAACTATTAGTCCTGTTGATAATTTGTGTGCTGCTCATCCTTGGTCAAGTACACAAACCCCACTGGTAGAACATTGTTCCTCTGGGGGGAAAAGACTCGTCTTTTTATCCAAGGCCTGGAGACAGAGTGTGGGGAACGGTGCTCCCTGGGAGGGTGCCTGTGTAGTGAGCAGGTGTTCTCAGTATTTTGCCGTCCTAGGTATTCAGAAACCCAATTGCAAAGAGTTCTAGAGTGGTTTAATAACTTTGTAAAGTTATCAGGTATGTTTGGTCAGCATAAAAGCTTGTTTGTCTTTAAATGTCACTGTCTTCTTTTTTCTGAGTCTCATTGAAGTGTGAGCTTAACAGAGCCCCTCGGTCTCCTCACTCTGGTGCATGCCTGGCTCCTAATGAAGGGAAGTCAGTGGCCAGGCCCCTGTTGGGACTCTGAGGCGCCTGACAGTTTTAGGGTTTGAAGGACACAGCCCGATCCCCATCCCCACACGCAGAAGCTCCTCCACGGTGCTTAAGTACCTCCCCCCGGCTGCAGCACGAGGGTGGACCCAGCGTCTTCCTCTGTGGATTCTCACCTCACACACTGCTGTGGTCTGGTTACGACACACGCGTGCACAGTCCCTACACAGACCTGCCTTTGCACGCAGCGACCTTTGTGGTTCCTTTGCCTGAAATGCTTGCCTTTTCAGGGCTTAACTCCAGTGTCTTGTGACCCCCAGCCAGCCACACAGGCAAGTCTGTCCCTGCTATTTGTTCCCACACTGCTTACATCGGTATTAAATTCCCACAAGGGAACATGAGCTTTCACAACTGCACACTGTGAAATCTTATTCGCACCGGGTAAGGTCCAGGCGGGTGCTCACCTGACACCCAGGGTCCCAGACTCCTTTTTCAGGGTGGCATCAACATCCTGAGAACTTGGGAGGAGCGGTGGAAATAGCATGCATTCTCTGGGCCCAAATGTGGCCAAGGGCCAGGGGTTTAGCTCAGTGGTGCAGCGCCTGCCTTGCAAGTGCAAGGTCCAGAGTTCGATCCCTGGTACTGGAAAAGGAAAAGTGTGGTCAGGCCTCAGCCACGTCTGCACAGACCCTCTAAGGAGACAGGGGACGCTGACAGCAGGGCAGCAGAGGAAACAGGTTTAATGACAGACTAGTCCTGGTTCCTCCCCGGAAAAGCACACACTATGTCTCACGCATCTTTGTATCTTTGTGCTGCGCACACCACAGAAACCCAGGACCTGTTTGTGAAGGTCACAGATTGGTAAGGGACCAGGTTGCTGGCTCCTGTGCCTGCAGTGGGAGCTCAGCACAGCCCATGAGGCAGCCAGCCAAGAGTTTATCACTGCTGCTCCAATTGTCGGCTCTGAGTATGGGAACTGTGTAAGACACTTCCCTTAAAAATCACTTCAACAAGGGCCAGAATGGAGCAAGAGCATGCAGGTGTTTGGTAAACACATGAGTAAATGAACAAATGAGTCCTCAGAGAAAAATCAATGGAAGCTTTGCAGAGTTAGGAAATGCTAATTGGGAAGGTGACATTCAAATTTGATTTTGAATGACTACTAGAACTTTACAAGAAGAAGAAGAAGCAAGAAACGGAAGTCCATGCAGGAGCAGGAGCAGCGCTTGGTGGTGGTTGTAGTTTTATTTATTTCATGAGTAGAAATTTAGAGAAGAGTCAAATGTTTATAAGCCTCGCTTTTTCCATTCAGTTTTCAAATCGCATAACTACAGGGCTAGAAGGACAGCAAACAGACACTTTTACAATTTCTAT